GGAGGGGGGGAAAAAAAAGTACAGGTGTGACTTGGCCCAGCGACTTTCTGTTCTCTCACTAGCTGTTCAAAATTATGACTTAAATCAACCACAGGTCGAGCCACCGGCATCTTAAAAGCATGGTCTCCAACGCCATCTCCCCTCCCCAGTTATCTGACCTCTGAGTGGCTTTCCCACGCCTCCCACCACCTCTTCCCCCCAAGGACCCAGACCCCCCCTACCCAGTGGTATGACAGCCCTACGAAACTCGGGACACACCTGGAAGGAAACACTTGCCCTTATGACTGAGAAAACTTAGTAGGAAAACAGTCCTTTGGTTGAGGACAGCAGGGGAGGGAGGGGGACAAGGGGGACATCTTCTTTAAAATAATAATAAAATTATAAAGAAACAAAAAAATCAAAATTGATGTAAAAGCAGCACAACGAAAACATGAAATGTCATCAAGTTCAACGTCAAAGCAGCCAACGATTTACAAGAGGCGAACAAATCTCTGAAGAGAAAACCAGAACCCAAAATAGTTGCTCTCAAATTGCACCCAAAACTGCCTGTAGTTTCTTTCAAACATGCAGTTTTTTTTTCTTTTCCTTTTTTTTTTTTCCTTTTATTTTTAATTTTTTTTTTTTTTAAATTGTTTTCCTTGTTTCTCAGGGGGGAAGGCAATGGTGAAGAAGGGAGTGGATATTTCCTCCGGGTTCCTCCCTTGCTGTGGACATTGACTTGAAGCAGCAGAACTGGGAGTCCAGATGTGCCGAGGAGGAGGGCTACCTCTGTGGCATTCCAGGCCTCGTTGCCATGGCGACCCGAAGCAGGGGCCTGGGGCCTCCTCTCCCCTGACTCAGCGCCGCAGGAGGCCTGGGGTCTGGGGCTCAGCTGCTCTCAGGCTTCCCCCCCTGAGCAGTGGAGACCTGAGCTGAGGGGCCTGCTGTGTCCAGGTGGGCTCTGGGGAATTCCATTCCCAGTCCAGCACTAGTCACTGTTGTTGAGGCCCCCTGAGCTGATATCCCAGTCAAACCCCTTTGTCTGACCTGCCACCAGTATTTAAAGCCCTAACAGACAAAGTATAGCATGGGCATGTACCACATTCATGGTTATTTAAAAGCACAGCCCCCTAGGGATCTGGGGGCGCCGGTTTTAGAAGAAACTTTAGGGAAATTGCTTCATTGGCCTTTTCTGCTGCCTATATGAAAGACCTGAAAGATACATGTGCTTCCTTTACATAGTTTTTGCCATGTTACAGAAAGGAAAAACAGTATTTGGGTAGACCGTTGAGTTGTGTTCAGCCAAGTTTAGGTACTTAAGTACAGTGACCCATGTGAACTGTATTGCTCTCTTTTCCCAATGGGAAGGGAGGAATTAATCATATTCCATGATCATTGATGACACTGGGAACTAGAGAGAGAGAGACAGAGAGAGAGAGAGAGAGAGAGAGAGAGAGAGAGAAGCAGTCTTGTCCTCCTGCAGGCCGATTCCCTGGCCATGTGCTAATGGGGCACCAAGGCGCCAGCAAACAGAGATCCAACCACTAGGGTCTGCAGCGTGAGCTCCAGGAGCCCTGGAGCAAACGTACTCAACCCCAACTCTGTCTATGTAGTGTCCATTTCTCTAAAAATGCGTTCGTTTATTTTCCATTGGAAAGACTGACGGACTGCAGGAGACACCAAGGAAAATTTGCCAAGTTGCTCATGCCTTTTAAAAGTCAACCGTCTTTTCAAAAACAATTTTCCAACAAGGTTGAAAGAACATGGCCCATCCCATCCTTATATCGGCAAAATTCCCACAATCTCTTTAAGGGAAGTTGTCTTTAAAAAGAAAATGAGATGGATGCATTCTTGAACACCCTAAGCCCAGAGACAAAGGAGTGACAGATTCACAGTAGAGAATGCAAATGCAAAGTTCCTAGAGTCACCAACAATCATGTTTGTGTGTGTGTTCGGGATGGGGGCGGTGGTTAAAAGCAGAAAACACTGTATTTCCTCCCTTACTCACTCTGAGTAAAGTGCTAGAAGCAGGACAGCATTAGTAAGGCTTCTCAACCCCTTTTTGGAATGGCCCCAAATAATCTTAGTACCTTCCTGAAAACTTTTAGTGTATATGAATAACCTACCTCTTTTTCTTATTTCTCCAATTGAAATCATATCTAAATCAACCCCTCTCTCTGCCACTTCCTTTTGAATTCTCACTTCAAGTACTATGGTTATATACAATATGGACTTATTGCATACACAAAAAAATGGTATTTAAATAAACAGTTCTATCCACAGAATGCTCTGGGAAAAACTCAAACCACTTCACACTTCCTGCCACGTTCACCCCACCTCTTAGCAACCTTTAAGAAATGTTGGTTTCAGTCCTTTTGCAGGTCCTGAATAACGAGAGGATAGCAAACAGACTCAGAAAGGAGATAGTATATGCCCTGGAAGAGCTTTGGGGTTCAAATCTCGGAGAAAGAGTATTTGCTGTATTCCTATTTGTTAAGTTTCTCTCAAAATGAAGATAAAAAGAAACATCTTAAGCATCAGGATTTCGAGTACATAGGGAACATTCCATCAGCAAGCACATCAATAGTTACAAAGACTTAACTGAGAATTTAGAGGAGATATTACTGTTCTTAGTATTTCTTCATTTTAAAAATATATTGGGAATTCATCTTACTGTGGAACTTTTTAAAATATTACTTTATACTATGATTTTTAAATTTTAGGACTCCAGATGCAAAATGTCACTTACAAGTTTTATTATTTTTTTTGACTTAAGTTTTCATGCTCCTATTGTTCAGTAAGCTTCAGAAATAATATTTTATCAGAAGGCTTCAGTAAGTCATGTGAAGTAACCTGAAGAACCTGTCTCCCAATAAATTTATTTAACTTTGGGACCATGTAAATCAAGCATAATCTGTGATTTATCACCAGATGTTTGCACCCCTCCCGGTTCCCCATTTGATTTAAGAAATCTGAACATACAAGTATGCCGTATCCACCATTAATTCTGTCTGTCAGATGCAAAACCTAATTACACTAAGAGCATCATATACTGAGAAATTAAAATGAATATTGTATATAAAACCTACACAGCTGCACTCCAGAGCTCCTAATAAAAGAGCAATAGGGACACACGGAAGTTTTATGGCCATTTAATATGGTGGAGCAGAAGTCAGCATGTCTAAAACCGGCGTGGCACTGGGGAATATTTCTATCTGTCTCAAACAGCATTTTGGATTCCATTTTGGAGTAACCTAATCTAAAACACACACATCTTTTCTCAGTTCACTGACAAACACCAAGTTCTCCAAGGTACTCTGCCCCCATCCCATCTTAGCTCCTGTGCAATGTTCTCCAAAATCCTCTTAGTGGACTCTGATTCACACCCAAACTGGCTTTAAAAAAAAAAAAAAAAAAACTAGTTTCTCTATACTTTAAAAAGATAAAACTCTTCTTGCCTTAGATGAAAGGCATTACATGAAAAGACCACCTCAACTGGTACTAGGGCAAAGAACTGAGCAACAGAAAAAAAAAATGCTACCACAAGAAGACGACAGAACAGCTTTTGTTTTGGTTTTTACAAAAATAAGAACAATGTCGGATCCATTCATCTACACTGGGAACAGGGACACAGTATCACAGAGGCATGTGTTGTAATAAAGCAAATTGATGCTGCGACATGCAGTATTTGTAAAACCGACAACACAGATTGGTAAGAAGAGATTTTAAAAAATAGGCCTAACTTGCTTTTCAAAGGCATTGCATAAATCTGTTGGTTGGTCGAAAGATAACTGAAGGGTATTCCTACTCTCACTTGCTGCCAGCCAGGTAGACCCTAGGAAAACATGGAAACGATCTGTCGCGTGTAAGGTCTGTGGGGTCTCAGAACCACAAAGCAAGCCACCCTCATCTCCAGAAAGCAGGGTCTGATTCCAGAATGTTGGCTCTGTCTGGCTACCCCTGGTCGATACTTTCTGCTCATTTTTCTCCTCCCTCCTTTTTTGGTTTGTTTGCTTGTTTGTTTAATTGATGCCTTTGTCTCTGGATTTTTAGGTCTGAGGGCTGGGGTCGTTCTTGTCATGAGGAATGACTATTGGGTAGAAACTAAAGAGCTGATTTCTTTTTTAAAAAAAAAAAAACCTTTTTTTACATCACATTCTAAGATAGGACAATGATGGGAGAATAGAAAAGAACTTTTAGACAACAAGAACAGCAAAAAATCCAAAGGAAATAAAAGTTGAAGATGCTATTACCAGCAAGTTTTTCACTTAATAAGCTGAATGGATTTCTGCTAAGAGATGGAGCAAAAGTTTTTAACATCAGACTGAAAACACCTTCAGTTTCTTGAAAATTATTCTAAAATTGTAAAGCCTAATAACTATATCCATGGTTTGAGATGTCTATTTTAATATAGTAAGTAAGTTCCTTTAGGGTATAAGACACGCATCAAAATGCCCAGAGAAATAATCTTGAAAAAGACTGACTGGCCTTCTCTTAAAACCTGTTATTTTCTTGAAGGTAATTTACAGAGTGTGTCAAATGAGGACACAAGAAGCTTACATTGTGTACTTTAATTTTTTTTATTTTTTTCAATAAAGGGACAAAATGGGTGTATGAACAGGTTAATGCAGACAACTGCCAAAAAAACACAGACAGTGGTTTTTCCAATAGAACTTAACAAAGACCAGAAACAAATACAATAAAAAGCCAGGTTGTAATGACCTTTGGTCATCCAAATAAAAAAAAAATAAAAACAAAGAAAAATAAAAGATCAAATTAAGTGCCTCTGTTTTGAACAGGGCACATAAGCAATAATAAATAGTGACTCCCATAGTAAAAGATAAAATTTCAAGTTACGACAAACAGCTTTCATTACAGGAATAGAAAAGGCCAATAACAAAATATTCTGCATTGCCATTTACAAAAAAGTATTGACTAAAGCGGGCTTTCTCTTTAATATGCTTTGCATATGAAATTCTTTCCAATCTAAATATAAAGCACCATTTAGTTTTTGGCAATGAAAAAAACTGCAAAACATTGGTTTTTTTTTTCCTTTTTTTTTTCTTTCTTTCTTTTACTGCATATGAAGGTAAGATGCTGGAATGTAGGGTGATAGAAGGAAAGGGACAAAAAGCACACTACATAACAAACCAACGTTATTAGCTTGCAGTACTGCATACAGTATGGCAGCAGGAAAAAGGAACAAAAAGGATATGTACAACCCCCTATGACAGCCATCTGTGTGACATTCTAGCAGGCTCCCCCAAACCGCCATTATATGGCTTCTCATCTGTACAATGTCACACTTTTTTGTTTCTCTTTTTTTTTTTTTGAAGCATACAAATAATTTGTACTATATTATCCTGCCAAATTAAAAAAATATACTGTGGCAGCCTGTCTTTTTTTTTTTTTCCACTACCAAAAAAGGTACATTGATACCTTTTAAGAGAACAAGCAACAGTTAAAAATACAAGCTTCAATATAAATACTATAGTGCCTAACACTAGATGAACATTTAATTCAAATACCATTCTAGAAATACAGAAAAAAGACCATAAATGTGTTTTAGCATAGGAATCAACATGAGTGTGCATTTTCCTATATTTAAGTACTATATATCTTAAACCTTTCCCCAATGTATGTTTTTTTTTTTTACAACCTGAAGAGCGGTGTGTAATCCAAGGCATAGAATTTCCACTACCATTTTTAAATGGATAACAAGTCTTGTAACACCACCAAGACAATGGAACCCTAAAATGCAGTTCCCCCCTAAACATAATGAAGTGTTTTTTTAAAAAATTTTTTTCTTAACATTTATATTTAAAAAAGTTTTGTACAAAAAAATCCTTGCACTGTAGAAGCGAAAGCAATCATTCATTTCTATGTTAAGTGTATTCTGTTTCCATTCACAGCGCTCGCAATGTTGCGTCCAAGTAAGTAAGCTCATTAGTCAAGTAAATGGCTGGCAAAGTTTTTTAGTTTTTTTTTTCTTTTTTTTTTTTAAATGCTCATCAATGAGATTGTGTTCAATTTTTTTTTCAGCATTCTTGCAACTTTTCCCTTAAGTATAGACCTGTAAACTGGGAAAATTGTACAGTGCACTTAATTGTCCTATCTGAGCAGGTTTATTTTATACTCAACCTCTGTATCTCTGATTAGAGAAAAGATACAGGTATCACAGGCAGAGTCAAGTGCTATTTGAACACCAACTGGGGCAGATGCTAGCTTAATAAAAAAGAAAAACTTAAAAAAATAAAAAAATAAAAACAATGAATCCTCTTCCATGTTAACACAAATAGCACACAGTGTATGGAAAAGAAATGAAGTACAACTTTTAGGGAGCACAGACATATATACTGCTACTCTTAAAATTCTTTCTCTTCTTTTTTTTAAGAATGTCACATTTTAACGCAAGTCTTTAAGAATTCATAGTTAATCATCATTGTATCAATATTAGCTTATATACCTGTTCTAGTTTAAAATGGCAAATAGTACCATGTTGTGCTAATAAATCACTTCTTTTTTTTCCTCTGTTCCCCTCTATCAAACCTCATTGTCAGCCTCTTCTTTTTTTTAACATAGTATACTAGGTTTTAAGTTTATCATGTGATTGTCCATTTGACAACCAAGTGGATCTGGATCTATTTCTTTTGGTGCCAGAATTTTTAAAAGATATTATTTCAAACAAGCATCTTCACAAAGTGAACTCCTTACTAATGTATTTAATCACGTTCCGGGGCTTTTGCACGTTACACATTCAATTTAATCATTGTTTAAAAAAAATAAAACTTTGGGCAAAGCAGCCCATTTCTTTTAAGCTCTCACCAGGAGCAAAGTAGCTTTTATACTGGTATAATCAGTTTTTGTTCACAAAAGTTAAACTAAAGGGAAAATGATGATTAACTAGGACATAATGGGTTATATTTTTAGGTAGCCATTGTTGTGAGAAATACAATATAGAATTATATGCTAGGTCCTAGGGTTCATTACCTCACCCAACGCTGAATTAAGCTACAAGTTTATAACAAGTAAAAAGAACCATCAATGTGGTTTTAATAGATCCAAGGCACTCATATTTTAAAACCAAATGATAGAATAAACTTGTTTTGTTTTCTGTTAATTTGTCAATTCAAGGCCTTTCTTTCTCTTTCCTCTCCAATTGATAACATTTAACCCTTTAGAGACAGACATTTAGCTGGTAGGTTTTTTTTTTTTTCAGTGCCATCTATTCTGTCTATAGAGGGTTAATCCAAAAGACTTTTTTTCCTTCTCACGTTATAAAATAAAACTGTACATGATATGTATTACAGAATGTATGCAGCATGGTCTTTTTTTTTTCTCTCTCTCTCTCTTTTTCTCAGAACGGAACTGGAAACAGCAACATGTTTGCTCAGCAACGAATTAGGGACAATTTAAAATAGCCATAACATACCATACATGCTGTCTAAGTTTAAAAAAAAAAAAAAAACATACACAACATGTAAATTATTGCACAAGAGAAAGGCTCAAAGTTTGCGTAAAATGCAATAGTATTGCCCCATACAGATCATGCATTCAAACGGTGAGAACATAAAGAAAAAAAAAAAAAAAGAAAAAAAGAAAAAGGAAAAGAAAAAAAAAAACAGGTGTGCTGGTGACAAGCACTCTCATATTCTTAGCTTCCGTTACTTTTGTTTATTATTTGTTTGTTTGTTTAAATCACATGGGACTAGAAAAAAATCCTACAGGGAGTGGGGCTGGAGGGCTATGGGGTAGGGGGGGATGGTGAAAAAAGGAGGTGTCGGGTGGGAGTGAGGGAGGAGTATTAATATACCTCTATTCAGTTTTTATATCATTATTCAACACTCGATCACTGTGCCATTTTTTCATGTGTTTCTCCAGGGTACTGTACACGCTAAAAGGCATCTTACAAATTTCACATTTGTAAACGTCCTTCCCCACCTGGCCATGCGTTTTCATGTGCCTGGTGAGCTTGCTACTCTGGGCACAGGCATAGTTGCACAGCTCGCATTTATAAGGCCTTTCGCCCGTGTGGCTTCTCCTGTGGACAGTGAGATTGCTACAGTTCTTGAAGACTTTCCCACAGTACTCACAAGTGTCGCTGCGTCTGCCCTCTTTTGAGCTGGGCCTGCCCGGGCCCGGACCACTAATATGGGGCGTGCTCCCTCCACTTCCCGTGCCGCTGCGCCCCGAGATCCCTCCGTCCAGCTCCCCGGGGGGCGTGGAGAAGCGCAAGCTCCCGTTCTCCGAGGAGTGCTCCGATGAGGAGGCAAAAGGCGATTGTCTGGAGTCTCCGAAGCTAAGGAAGGGATCTTTGAGCTGCCTGGAGGCCGCGTAGCCGGCGAGCCACTGCGAGTACACGTTCTCCGTGTTGGGCATCGCGGCGGGGGGCAGGTCGAACTCCTTCTCGAGCTTGATGCGCTTGGAGAAGGGGCTCAGCGAGCTGGGGCTGCCCAGCAGCAGCTTTTTGGACAGGCCCCCCGAGGCCGACTCGCCCGGGGAGCAGCCACGGCCGTTAACAGTGCCATCGTCTATGCGGTCCGACTCGCCGGCCACCGAGTCTTCGTCGCAAGTGTCCCTGTGGCCCTCAGCCTCGGCCAGGTGGCCGCGCTTATGCTTCTCGCCCAGGACCTGGTGGAAGGCCTCGCTGAAGTGCTGCATGGAGCTGAGCACCATGCCCTGCATGACATCGGGCAGGGCGCGGCCCTCGTCGCCCACGCCCACCACCGCGCCCCGCGAGCTGTTCTCGTGGTGGCGCGCCGCCTCCAGGCTCAGCCCGAAGCCGTAGTCCACCCTCTCGCTCTCCGTCAGCTCCTCCTCCTCCTCTTCCTCCTCTTCTTCTTCTTCCTCGTCGTCCTCCTCTTCCTCCTCGTCCCCATTCTCTGGGATTAGGTTGGGGTCATTCTCGCTCTTGAACTTGGCCACCACGGACTTGAGCGCGCTGCTGGCGCTGCCCACCAGGTCGCTGGTGCCGGGTTCCGGGGAGCTGGCGGTAGAGAGGCCATCGTCAGACTTGACCGTCATTGGGGAGGACTTGTGCATGTGCGTCTTCATGTGGCGCTTCAGCTTGCTGGCCTGTGTGCAGGCATGGTCGCACAGGTTGCATTTGTAGGGCTTCTCGCCCGTGTGGCTGCGCCGGTGCACCACCAGGTTGCTCTGAAATTTGAACGTCTTGCCGCAGAACTCGCATGACTTGGACTTGACCGGGGGCTGGGAGGGAGGAGGGGCGGATTGCAGAGGAGGGAGGGGGGGCGTCGCCAGGAAGGGCGGCTTGCTACCTGGCTGGAATGGTTGCAGTAACCTTTGCATAGGGCTGGGCCGGCCTGGGGACAGCGGTGGGCTAGACGTGTTCCCTGCCAGCTCTCTAAGTCTCCTAGAGAAATCCATGGCGGGAGGCTCCATAGCCATTGGATTCAACCGCAGCACCCTGTCAAAGGCACTCGGGTGATGGGTGGCCAGGGCCATCTCTTCCGCCCCCAGGCGCTCTATGCGGTGGGGGTCCAAGTGATGTCTCGGTGGTGGACTAAACAGGGGGGGAGTGGGTGGAAAGCGCCCTTCTGCCAGGCCGGAAGCCTCTCTGGATACTGATCCTGGTATTCTTAGCAGGTTAAAGGGGTTATTGTCTGCAATATGAATCCCATGGAGAGGTGGCTGGGAAGGACATTCTGCACCTAGTCCTGAAGGGATACCAACCCGCGGGGTCAGGGGACTTCCGTGTTCGCTTTCTAAGTAGATTCTTAATCCATGAGTGTTCTGTGCGTGTTGCAAGAGAAACCATGCACTGGTGAATGGCTGTTTGCAAGTTGTACATGTGTAGCTGCTGGGCTCATCTTTACCTGCAAAATAATACAACAGCAACATCAATGTTTAATCACCGAGGCGGCATCAGCAATTGCTTACTCATGTTCCACCCTCAGTTTTCCCTGCCGGCCCCTCTACCCCAATGCCTAAGCCCTCACAGACCTACCCCTGTGCCTACACGGTGCCTGGCCCATCTGGTGGTTGATGCCCAATAAATATATATGAGTCAGTCTTCCTGTCATTAAACTCTGTTCTAAGAATTCTGTATCCACACCCCAAAGCAGAAAAATTCCAACCAATTCAAGCTTGAGAATGAGGGATCCTATATTCTAGGGATCTTGGCAAATGTCTTATGAACCTTCCAACCTCGTTAGCTGTGATTGGGGGCAAGCCATTTCATCTCTTTGTGCCTCTGTTTCCTCATCTGTTACTTGGACAAGGTGACTGAGGAAAATTGTTTTGCTTCCCAAATCCTATGATCCTAGTCTATTCTCCTCTGAGTGGCAGGTGAATTTTCTAAATAGGCAATCATTCCATCTAGATGCCAAAAAGAGAAGAAGAAGGTAAACTAACCATAGATCTCTGTAGCCCTACTGAGGCTTAACTTGAAATATACTAATTGTTGACATTGTAAAAATGAGAAGGGACTCAAAAAATTCTTCCACAGAACAAAGACTAGCAACATTCTCCCATCCCAGCCTATGTGCCCATGGGTGAGTTCTAATCTGGATTCTATTCATAATCCCCCACAGGGGACACCCATTTTTTAATCTCAAGGAATGTCATGAAAATCTCAAAAGAAAAATTTAATTCAGATTGCACTGAAAGGTTGCACGGAGATGCTTAGGAGTTGTCCCCCAGTGCAGCAAATGCAAGTCTGAAGAAGAGTTAGGAGGAGTGGCTGGTGCCAACTTCAGCAGACACAGCATCCTGGTTGAAGGAACAGTTAAGGCCGCCAACACCATGACAGGCAGCAGGCTGAGCAATGCTACACTAGCCTCCTCCTCATTATTTTGAGAGGCTAACAACGTGAACCAAATTATACAACATCCTGCGCCCTCGGCTGAGACTCGGCTCCAGTTGAGAAAGAAACAGAAAGATACAGTTCAGCTAGTCAACTCTTTGGCCAGTAGCCAAGCCGTCTGGAGAGGGGCCCTGCTTAAGTCACATTATTTCTCTCTTGCTGAAAAGAACCCGAGAGTGGTAAATGCCACTTTGGCAAAGAGGGGGCCAGCTTGACTTCACGAAATCATTCATTTTGGGAGATAGCTAAATTAAAATGTACATGTATGTGTTTTATATATATATATATATATATATATATATATATATACACACACACATATATATGTATATATATATCTACACACATATATATACGCATACATATATGGAGTAACTAACCAACAGTTTACCAGTCAACTGTAGCCTTAAAAAGGGCACAAGTGATGGTGGCCTAAGGATAAGGATGAGAATAATGGATAATGTCCCAGGGATTCTGAAAAAAGACAGAGCTTAAAATATAACTGAGAAATAAACTTTCTCCCTCTTTTAAAAGAGGGGCTAGCAGAGTTCCTTCAGCCCACAGCTAGCATTTGTCAGTAAGTTTTTTAAAAGGACAGAATTCACCAGGGAGCTAAAGAGTGGGAATGAGGAATTCATCAATTATATGATTCCTCCATTTAGCAAGTCAGAAAGAAAAGCTGGCAGGGTCTTCTTAGGAGCCCCAAACACTCATATTCCAAAACAAGCCAGCCTCGCTCAAGCACTTGTCTAAATAATGGACTCCTGCCCTGACCTTGTAATTTACTTTACAATGCATTTATAATCTCACTCAATATATCCCACTCCTGGGTAAATCTCTTTAACAAGATTAGATGGTAAGATACCAAAATTAGGTTTCAAACATTTGTCTAATGTGGAAAGGGGGGGGAGGGAGGCAGAAAGATTTTGAAAGAAAACGCTGACATTAGTATCACATTATCTGCCTATTTTTGTTTGCCTCTTTTCTTCAAAGGGAAATAAAAAGCTTCATTGAGAGTATTTTCATAAATTTTTTGTTGTTGTTGAACAATGACGTGGGTCCCAAATAGACAGGGACAAAACTATCTGGTTCCAAGTACTGTGACCCTCTGTGGCCTTCTCCTTTGCCCCCCTAGGACTTTGGGTTATTATCATACATTTAGCCTGACAATCAGAATTGGGGACATAAAAAGGAAATTTGTCAGCTAAAGCCAGCCCTTCACACTTTTACCACTTCAAGATGCCTTAAAATCATATTTTACCCTTATAATCTTCTCCTGAAACCCAGGACTGGACCCATAATTAGTGATGCTGGTTTCGTATGTGCCATGATGCTGCCACTGATAAATGCCGAGAGCTGTGGCATACGGCACTACGTCAAGAAGCTCATTTGTATCCTTTCCAAGAGGCTTCAACAAGAAAAGTCCATTTTATTTTGCTGTCCTGTGCTTCTTAAAATTTTTTCAGAGCCAGTTATGTGATTATGTTACAGTATGTTAACACTATGATGCTATCCCTCCCCCTCTCATACATCAGGTCAGAGAAAATGGCATTTTATCTCATAATGAGGATACAACATAGAGTTTTCACTATCGCATTTTAGTATTCCCATCAACTAGATATTCTAGATCATGAGGGCAGCTAGTGTAATCATAATGTCAATGAGAAGGGCTGTTACGATTGAGACTAAAGATTACACGGAAAGAGCTGCTTTGAAACTGGTAATTATTACCAGTCCACTAATAGCAAATGATGCATTACAATTTCACCATATAATCTGTATTTCACTCAGCTCATGCCGGTGCACCATATTATATTACAGTGCTCACAGATTCTAAATTCCTAAACTGCAGTCATCAATAAATGTGTTACTTGCCATAATTTGTGAAATTACTTTGTTCATAACATCTTTGATGGTTTAGAAAGACCAGAATTGATTTCCTGCGTGGCAAAATTAGGGCTACATTGATTTATTGACGTGTAAAATATAATAATATTCTTCATTTACTCTGATGAAAATCAACTTCTCGATTTGAGAGCCTCATTGGGCATTCACTGGGATTGTTTTGATTTGAAGCAATAAAGTGAGACCTGGCCCCCAAGCATAAGAACTCAAGGCATGGAAAGGGTTAAAGGCAGCTGTTAGCCCACCTCCTGGTTTTATTTTATTTTACGGGAAGGAATGACCCCCATTTCTAGTGGGTCACCAATACAAAAAAAAGTCATGTGACTTAAGCCTCAAAATTTGGAAGAACGAGAAGGTCCGAAGTGGGACCTCTGGTTCTATTATTTACTAGCTTGCGACTCTGGGGCTGTCATTTAATTTCTCTGAGCCTTAGGACTCCTATCTGTAAAATGAGCATAGAAACAGTGCCTTTAAAGAATTGTTGTGAGGTTCAAATGACAGAACCATCTAAAAACCCTCTGTAAACTATCAGGTCCAACATGCCAGTGAGTTTTCATTCCTACCGGGTGTGATTAATCACTGAGGGTAATGACTAACTGCATTACATGCCCAGTACACAAGCAGAAGAAAGTCCCAGGGCAGGCCTACCCCAGGCTCTGGATAGAGGGTCAGGAGGGGACAACGGTAAGTCACTCTTCCACTTTCACAACCGTGGGGGCCACAAAGCTGTGGGCTCGAAAAGCCAAGGGCAGCTGCTCAAAGCAGCAGAATGGGGTGGGTATCAGCTTTGCCCTAGAACCTTCTGGAACCCCACAACCCATTTCCACATACCTTGTCTGCTCACTCCTAAACTGGTCCTGCCAGCCTGGGCATTGTCAAACTATGGACCCTCCCTTTATGGGTAGCGGGGAAAGGACAGGGGTTCTATATCAGGCTCCCACTTTCCCACTCATCAGATCACACTCCCAACTCTCAGAAGACCAAGCTGAAGACAGAATAATAAACTGTTTCCCCAGCTAGCAGCCCTTGGCCTCTTAACTCCACCCTCCTCTCTATCTCCCCACTCCCTCGTTTCCCTTCCCTCCGAGGATGGCTCTGTTCCCACAGCCAAGTGCAGGCCCCAGGCACCCCCAGTAAAAGGAGTAGAGTTCTTCCCACCCAGCCAACATGTAGGGACTCGAAACCAGGAGTCCAACCCCTTAAACTCTCTACAGTGTGTGACCTAACCCAGGCTAAGGCCCAGCTTGCAGGAAGGGCAGATGAGGTGCTCTTAACCAGGCACCACCCAACCCTCAGGACCCAAGGGCTTCTGAAATTCCTATAATAACTCTTTGTTGCCTGGGATTACCTCGAGTTAACAAAAATAAACAACTGGCTTTGAATTTGGTCTCAGGGTGCATGCCCTGCCCTGCAGACACCATTCACAAGATGGGTAAGTCTAATTTCTCTCCTGTAGGAAAAACAGTTTCCTTTCTAGCCTTTACGAATATATCTTACTCTCTGTTACTCCCTTTCTATGATCCTTTCTTTTTTCCTTCCCATAGCAGGTTATTAATTTTTTTTTCATGTACTTGCAAAATAAAAATTAGATGTCACACTTCTTTATTTCCTTGAATCTGCTTTTTTGGGAGGTGAGGGGTGAAATAAACCCCTCCCCCCAACATTCTAACCATGCATACTTCACACCACGTTTCTACATAAGATAAGCAAACTGTATTACCTTATAAAATAACATTCAAAAAACGTTTTCATAAATGAACACTAAATTTCAAAGGTCCCCACTATAAAAGTTAAGTAAATTGGGCAATGGTGGTAGTGGTGGTGGTGGTAGTGGAATCTACATTTTAACTACAGTGCTTGCATTTTCTTCTAAAATTAGAAGAAAAATAAGCAGAAATTATGTGTATGCATATATGTGCGCATATATAAAATACTATATATATATATATAATGTTCAAATACACAAGTAAATGCATAAATAACATGAGTTAGAATAACTTAGAAGTAACTCTAAACTGATGCCTTGTGATTCTGGCCTCTGCTAAAGGGTATGCCATGGAATAAATTCAAAGTCCTCCATGAGGCCACGGGAATGAATGTTCAGCAATAAAATGGGCCCTGAACTCATGAGGTATCTAGCCACCAGCCATGGAGCCAGGAAAAACCCTAGGGAAAAGACTCTCAGAGATGAGAGGAGTGGGGGTATGGGTGCCAAGTGAGTAATGGAATAATATGTATGTGGGTGCCAATCTGTTTTAGATGTAACTCTGGTACTTAAAAAGTAAAGGTGTAATTTCTAGAAACTCTCATCTCTATACACATAGACATTTATATAAGAAATAATGCTCAACTTACAAATACCCTGCGGGGCATATTCTGCACTCATCCCAGGCGTGGGGATTAGAGCTCCATGTGCAGAACGAGGGGAGGACAGGCCCCTCCAGTGCAGAAGTTTATCTGTGAAAGAAACCCAAAATCAAGCACTGCAGCCATAAACAATGTGCATCGTAAACCACAGGATATCACATTTCAATTCCATTAAAATAGATTAACATCATTACAACAGCCTTGCAGATAGTTAATAGGCCCAAGGCCTGAAACTAAAGGAAAGTGGTGAGTTGTTTCCCACGGTTTATGTTTAGTTTTTTAATTTTGTACTTTTTGGACAAAAGGGAAAGGGTTTGTTTTAGGTATGGGGGTGGTTCTTAGGTTCAGTTGCTTGATTATTTGTTGTTATTTGTTTATTATTGCTATATAAATAGCAAGGAGAAAATTCATAATGTTACATATTTATGGCTGGAAAAAGGGAATTTATCTGCAAGGCTGGTTTACATGCATACGTTGACTTGACTTTATAGACAAGCCCAAGCAAAAACCAGGATGCTAATAGGAAACGAGTGGGTTCATGAACCATTTTTATGGGATACTTTCACTCCATCTTCCCCATCCCACATCCCCCTTCCCATGCTATATTTGCAACAGGACCTTCAGTGATGGGGAAGCCTCAGGCATTTCTGGACTTGGTTGGGCCACACTCTAAAATTCTATCAATGGGGTACCCTGTTGGCATGACTTCTCATCATGCAAAGCAGTGGAGTATGAAGATTAGACTTCTGGGACTAAAATAACTTTGGCTGGATCCCCACCTTGAAGGTGCTGGATCTTATCATTAAATGACAAGGAAAGAACCAACATCCAATAATAGCAGCATCCAGAAACTAGGACCCACTTTCCCCATTCAACTGCATACCTGGTGGGGAAAAAAAAAGTTAATTTTTCTTACTAATAAACATAAATCTAGCAGTCAACCAAGCATTCTTAACACTGATGTTTGTAAGAAAGGAAATTTGGTTTGTGCAACCTGGGAATTATCTGGTTTCTGTGGTAAGTGTCCAGGTTTTCCAAATCTACCTTCAGCTAACTAATGATATAGATGTCCACCTTGAGACAGAGTGGAAGATAGATGGAGTAAGAGACGCTCCTCTAGAGGTTTGGAGTTTGTGTTGACTAGGGAAGGCAGGAGAGAAGAAAAACAAACTTTGAATGTGAGCAAACAGAGTATGTTTTGTATTAGCTTAATAATAAGAACACTTAAAAGTGTTTGGGGGTATACTCTGGGATAGCAGATCCCAAGAGTGAAATATGTTCTATTCTCTTTGTGTTGACCACATGGACAAATGCAGCCAGGGCAATTGGGACAAGGTTCCCTTTCATGGGGAACTTAATGTGTGGCTTGAGAAAGCTCTTACACAGATGGCATAAATCCATTGTCAGCAGGGTTCCAAAGGGAGGCCATCTAGGAGACGCCATCTAGCCTGAGACCATCTATGGAGACTTATCCTCCTCTCTAACTCAACACAAAATATAAACCACAAAATGAACCAACAAAAGTGGGAAGTCTGGACTTAGGAAAAACGTACGCCCACACTTGCTTCCTTATGTTAAATGAGTCAAGAGTTCTCGATAAAATTTAGTCCTATCAATTTGCAAGAAAAACTTGAGATTCCATTTTTTTTCTTTTTTTGCACCTGTTCTTGCCTCAGCAAGTTTGTTGCAGAGACTAGAATCCTTTTCCTAGGAAACCCACACTACCTAGATATCTGTAACCCCAGGACAAAAGCCACAAGATCTTTGAACCCTCGAATGGGGAGAGAGTCTAATTTCAAATTCCCTGCCACTTATTCCAGCAAAAAAAAAAAAAAAGGGAGAATTGTTAGCCCATTGCCGGCTAGCCACTAGCACGTCTCTGGTTGGCTTGTCTCCTAACCCATTCCCACTAAATAAGCTGAGCCCAGAACAGCAGCCCAGATCAAGTGGTGAAGGGACATCTCATGAACTAGATTATCTGGCATCATGGTTTGTTTGGGGTTTTAGATTAAAAAAAAAAAAACCTTTATTTTATTTGTCTATTTATTTTTATATAGTGCCAGGGATCCAACGCAATGCCTCATGCATACTAGGCAAGCACTCTACCACTGAAGCACAACCCTGGCCTATAGGGGTTTTAGTTTTTGAATATTAAAACAAAATCTTAGTAATTGCAAAGTCTGTGTTTCCATTTTATAGATGGGGGAACTGAGGCCTTGAGAAATTAAGTAACTTACTTGCCCATTGCATGGTCTTCAATGCCTAGAAACAGCTACAAAGAAGGCTCTCCTTCCACTGAAGCACTGGGCAGAACTTAACAGCCCACAGGTATGAGGAGAGGGGCTTTCAAAAGGTCCCAATGAGCTGACTTGGTTTTTACAACTGGCAAATACTGTCTGCTCTGAGCCTCTACCTTTCACCCTCTACCTCTGTTCCCCTAAGAACTAGCCAGCTGAAGAGATACAAAGCATTGCTACCAGCCTAACATACTATTCACTTTAGAATGCGGCATGCTGTCTTTGTGCCAGAGACTTGGCCTTGCATTTCTCTTCCTCCAGGAAGAGGGTCAAAGCAGAGCCAACTGGGAACCCAGCTGATTTTGCTGCTTCTTCCACTAAACACGTCCATAATATTCTCTTTGGTAAGGAGAATTGACATTCCCACAAGAACTGGAAATGCTCAATTGTTAATAGCTTCCCTAGGGTTTAACTTCTTGCCTATGATGCCTTCAATTATTTCATCACAGCTTAGGCAAAGTAAAGTATCACAATTAATGCTTCTGAGCATCAAACCCAACAAGCAGCTCTGCCTTCCCTCGTTGAGAGGGAGAAAGAGCTGTGCTGATGGAAAGCTGCTTCTCTTCCCACCCTCCCTTCCATTCTCCCCAGGCAGAGATGGGCTCCATTGCCAGCTGAGAAGGGGCGTGGTCTAGCTCTGCCCTCTATTTCTTTGTTGGCACACTCAGGGAAGGGATTCTCAATGCACAGAGTAGACCCAGCATCAGCACCACCCGGAAGCATGTTGGAAACACAAATTCTTAGGCCTCACCTAAGATCACAAACTGCAGGAGGGCGAGGAAGCAGCAATCTGTGTTAAACAAGCCCTCCAGGTGACTCTGATGAGAGCCGTCAAGGTTAATAAGTCCCATCTTAGATTAAGGAGAGGTAAGGATCTGGGAGCTTTGATGTTCCCTGGGCAGAGATTCATGGGCCATGAGGTTGTCCTCCCTTCCACCAGGACCCACCTCCATTAGGACAGGAAGAATAAAAATCAGGGGTATCCCTAAGGCTCTCCATGTGAAATTAAGAGGTTCCACTCTCTATCCCTGGGTCATTGTCGAGAACCTGGAATAGATCCAGTCTCTTTGTTAAGTAGTGTGTCCTCTTAGCATAAGAAAATACCCAATGTAAGGTAGATGGCATCCTCACTACTGCATAAAAACTGAAATGTTTGGGCTGGAGCTACGGCTCAGTGGGAGGACACTTGCCTAGCATGTGTGAGGCCCTGGGTTTGATCCCCAGCATTGTTTAAAAAAAAAAAATCAAAGCTGAAATATTTGAGCATGCTGTATGGACAGAGCAAGAACAGGAGTCCTGTCATCTTTCCAGACTCTAGACAAGCTACCTTCTTTGGAATCAGTCTCCTCCTGAGCTTTGTGTTCCCCTGATAGAAGGTGTGTCAGCCTGTTCTGTTTCATAAAGGTCTCTCTAGACTCATTTCACTTGGGTCTCAGAAATGCCTTTTGCATTATTAAATTGCAAAGTTCCCTCCTGGCTGAATAAAATGTAATGAAGTTTATTTGTATTTCATTAAAAATCTGCAACAAATCAGGTATGGTTTTGATTTCACGTTACACATTGGTCACTTTTACATTTCTAACCTAATTTGGGTACCAACTTTTGACATAGTGGGATATCCCTGGAATTTAAGGTCATTAAATCAAGTTTTGGGGTTCCACCAGAATATCTTAGAGACTCCTCGACTATAACTTGCTGTTTGTTTCTGCAACTAATCATTGAATGTGTAATATAACCACTTTAATGACTAATAATATTCTGATCTCCAAGTATGCAAAGCAGCTAAGATCAAAGCCTCATTTCCAACGCACTTAACGACTGTTTCAGGAGCCCAACTTCTATCAGGTATGAAAGGCCAGATCTAGGGACTAGGGATGTGGTTCAGAGGTAGAATGCTTCCCTAGCATGTGTGAGGCCCTGGTTTCATCCCCAGCACTACAACAAGGGAGAGGAATATCATTCAATCCCAAGCCTCTCCACAAGAATACACAGACATATGCTCTTCATTGAAATGTGTGTGTATATATTTATTTTCTTAAACATGCATTTTTTAGATATATGTGTCCTCAAGTGGAAAAAAAAATATCTTGCAAACTCTCTTTCACCTTAGGTCCTTGAGAGGAGAATGAAAGACAACCCATCAAGACCAGAAAGGATCTCTATATTGGGGACAAGCCAAAATAAAGAACTTGTACGTCCCTTTCAGCTCCAAGATTCTCAAGTCCCCCCATCCTCCCAATAGCCACCTTCTAGGCCACACTTTAAGTGCACACTACATGCTTGTAAAGTTCTCTGAAAAAATCAGTTCCAGTTCTCAAACCAATTGCTGGATTCCAGCCACAAAAACAACAGACAAGTGTAGCTTGTCTGGGCTAGAAGTTGCTTTATCTAACAGGAGAGTAAATCCCCCGAAATGTCCTTTCTGGTCAGCTACTTCTACCTCTTGACCCTGCACACTACCTTGACTACCAGCTCTTCTCTGAGGTCCTCTGACCAAGAGTATTCTAGAGTAAACACTGGCCATGCCTGTGTCTGGAGTTGTGTCAATCTGGACGGAAAATGTGCCAGCTTTATCACTGCTAACAGAATTCCTAATTAACCTTCTGATAGTGTCAAAATCACAGTCCCTTTTGTTCTAGAAATGAGCATTTACATGATCATTTTTTCCTTTATAGCTTCTCTCTCTCTCTCTCTCTCTCTCTCTCTCTCTCTCTCTCTCTCTCTCTTTACTGGCTACTGTTTCCCCACATCAAGATGCTTTTTAAAAAGTATATTCTACAAAGGAGAAAGCAA